TTAGAATATATATTATTAATATTAGTACCATATAATTACAATTAAAATTACTCAAAAAAAACAAAATAGATACAAACAGTAGTGGCTTTTGCTAATAACATAACATGGATTATAAATAGCAAAGCACAAATATAACAAATAATTAAAATTACAAAAGAATTCTTTAAAATGAATAATATACAAATTAATAAAAAAAAGTTCAAACTAATTATTATAAATTCAAGAGAAATAAAAAAAAATAAAGTAATAAACATAAAAGATAAACAAATACAAAAGAAAAACATAAACAAAATGACAAGATTTTTAGATATTTAGTTAAATTGCAAGTTAAAAAACTTTCTAATTAGATCAAGAATACAAAAAATAGTATAAGCAATAGTCAAAAGTCTAAACATTAAGAAAATAATAATAGCATAAGTTTCATATATAAACAATATATACATTATATTAAAATGCTATATATATTGCAAACAATAAAGCTAACAAAAGTAGTAATAGATAAAATACAAAGCTTCTTACTAAAAATAACAAAAAATAAGTTAAAAATAGTATATACAACAGAAAATAATATAATGCTATATAGAAATCTAGAAAACTGTAATTTATTATAGAACTAACATATTGTTAAGCAAATTACAAACCTTTATATATGATTAAATGCAAGTAGTACAAAAGAATTGCTTACAAAAATATGTATAAATCAAGAACTTTTGTTAATAAGAGCAATAGAAAATACATAGCATAATAACTTTTAATAAGAGTTGAAAAAATAATCTAGCATATTACACAATGCTAAAAGCTAAAAAAATACAAATTAAATTAAATTTTAGTAATCTAAATCTATATCTAAATAGAAAAGAAAACAAGATTGCAGATTTGCTAAAAGAAAACTTTACAAAAAAGATAACATTAGCATTAGAAAAGCTAAAGTTAATATGTATAGAACAGCTAATTAACAAATTAGATGATCAAATAATATTATAATAACAGCTTAAGCTTTTATAAAGACAATTATGCAAAGACAAACAAGCAAAATAGTTTGGTAAAATAAAAGAAAAAATAATAAAAAACAAACAAAGTATAAGAATAGAAAGCAATTGGCAATCTTAAAAACTAAATAAACATATACTAAAAGTTTAACTAGAAACAATCTTAGAAGATAGAAGAAAAAAAGAATAGATACTAATAAAAACAGTAAAAAAGAAAGTAAATTCAAAACTAACAGTTAAAAGAATTATTACAAATATGTAGAATAAAGTTTTAACTGAATATTGAAAACTAGACACAAAATCAAAATGTTAGAGCTTGCTCTAAACAAATATAAAAGTTGTAATCTAGATTAAAAAAAAAAAAAAAAACTGTATAAAATAAGAAAACAAAAATGAAATTTAAGATTTAATCTCAAAATTTGCAAGAAAGCAAAAAGATCTAATTTTAGAATTAAATTATAAAATGTTTGCATAATAATGTAGAAAGAAGAAATAAAACTAAAGGCAAGTAAATAAAAAGCAAAATATATACAATACACAGACTTAGAAACAGAAATTATACAAAAATAGCCAATAAACTAGGCAATAAAGATAAAACTTATTTAAAAGAAAAAAATAAACTAAAAAATACTCTTATATTCTATACAAATAGATTATTAAAAAGAGATTTAAAGAAAGAAAGCCCAAACCCAAATTATATAGAAGCAGGCTAAATGCAAGTAAATGCAAAAGAGAAAAAAATACTTAATGAAGTTTATTTTGAAATATACAATTGGTCTTTATCAACAAGATCTAAGCTTTTGACAATATAATACATGCTGCTTACAGTATTAAATAAAAAAAAACTTAAGTTATTTACAGATAGTATAACAGCTATTGTAAATATAAAAGATAAAAGTAGTTATTTATCATTCAAATAATGTTTAAAAAAAAAATTACAATTTGAAATATTAGAGCAAACAAATTAGCAAAAAAGGAATTTAAATTAGACAATATAGATAAAATAGTTAAAGAAACTTTACAAAAAACTAATATTAATCTCTGTTAGAAAAAAGATATAATAGAAGATCCTACAAGACAATTTTTTTTTTTTGGTATTAAGGTGATCTCTTTGGTTCTAGCTTTTTATTTATACTTATATCAAGTATATGTTTTATATAGATATATTTATATTGAACTATCAGATGAGTATACAACTGGCTACATATATAACTTTTCTATATTATCTATTTAAGAAGTTCATTTGAAGGTTCTTTACCAGTTGCTGTACTTAACACTTCTGCTTAGATGTTTTATTTAAACTCTCTAATCTGACTTTAGTATTAATTTCACTAGATCATAAACTCAGATCTATTTACTTTTAACTATAGAATCATAATTCTTAGACTATTTTTATTCTTAAAATAAATCTACCAAAGCAAGCTATATTCTCTTTTATTACTAATCTGGTTTAATGCTATGGCTAAGATCAATACTTGCAGTCAGAGTTATCTATTAAACTGCTATTACTCTTGTAAAGTTTACTCAAACTCTGATATCCATCTTTTTAACTTTTTCTTCATTATTTTCTACTAGCTGCAATTCAGAACTAACTGACTCTTCAGACTTCTAATCTAGATGGCCCAGTATACTATACTTATGTATTCTTTTCTTTTGATGATTCTGACAGTCTAGTTGGTTATATGCTTTTCTACATATCTTGTTATCTGATTTATTTGATAATTTCTATAAAGATGTTTTATAAACTTTTATCAGTTCAATAGCATTATTGAAAGTTTGTATTATCTCTTTACTTAGGATTTTCAAGTAGGTTTTTATCTTCTTGGTTTCTTAGCCTTTTATGTCTAGTAATCTTATTATGGGTTTGCACTGAAGCCTTATATAACACCAGTTTTTTATATTTCTCTATATATATATAGTATTACATTTTGTATAGATGTCCTGAGTTTCCAATATTAGATAAAAGCTGACTTGATGTATTTAAGATTACAGATGCTCAAAATCTAACTAATCAATAAGAAATAGTTATTATAACATAAGTATAATTTTCAAAATTCATCGTCTGTAAAAATTAAACCTTAAACCTGCCACTTGAGGATTGACAATTTATCTACTTTATTAGGTTATTACACCTCTACAAAACAATTCTTAAAAGAAGTATTAAATCTTAAAATATATATAGAATAGAACTTTATATTAGTAATTAAAAAAGAAGAAAGATGAAAGCCTACTTGGAAGACCTAAGTAGAGAAGTAACCCAAACTTTTGATAGTGCTACTATAAAGACTAGACTTATAAAACAGAGCTAGAACTTGTGAAACTGAACAAATATGCTGGTTTTTGAGAAGGGATCAGATAAACCAACCAGGCCACCAGAATTGCCAGATTCTAGAAGAAAAGGTTATATGCTGACAATTATGTAAACCAAAGGTGTATGGTTTCAACTTGTCTTTTCAGACTATCTGGTTTGGCAACTTGATAGAACTTGAATTAAATACTAAAATAATAAGGATATATTGTAAAGTTAGTATCAGGATTGAAGTAAACTTTATAAAAACATAGTGGTTTAATAGTACACCCTGACCATCAGTATTGGTTTTAGCTATAGTGATACTAGATTAGCTATAAGAATAAGATACAAAAGATTCTAGAAGGTTTAGTACAAGATTAAAAGTTCTCCATATGAGTAAACTACTTTAAAGACTTAGTAACCATGATATATTTTTATCAGCATTGGCTAGGATCATTGGTAAGCAGAGGTAGGTAGATGGATACAGAAACAAAATAATTAAATAGAGAACCTACAAGCAGGTTTCAGATATAGCAGCTAGTGTAAAACCTTCAGGCAGACTACTTAAATTAGACAATAACTAAAGTTATACAAATAACTAGTTGTACACTCTTCCTATGGTTGCCCTCTGTAGTTGTAAAGCATCCATTAGCCAAATATACTATTAATAAAATCCCGAGTCACAATTACTCACCTTAATATTTAAAAAAAAAAAAATTAGTAATTAGAAAAACAGAACCAGATAAGAATAATAAAGCATACAACTTATTATACTTTTGAAAAAAAATAAAAAACCAAAATAAAAGCAAATGTGCAAGTATAAAAAAAAACAAGCAAATAAAAACTTCAATAAAATATATAAATAAAAAGTTGTCAATAACCAAAACATTAGCATAATATTATTCTGATCTTTACAAGAATACATATTGTATTTTTTGTAAAGAAGATAAAAAAAAAGATCAAGATTATTTAACAATATATAGATATTATAAAAACATATAGAAAAATATAGAAAATATATTAGTTAACTTGGTATGAACAATGTTATTAAATAAAACCAAAGTAGAAATAAGTAAAGATTAGCTTAAAAAAATATTTTAAAGCATACAAATAAATAAAAAAGTTAAAACAAAACAAGGAATAATCAAAGTTTTAGTACAAGAAAAGATAATAAAACATTTGCAAAACATTCTACAATCTTTTAAGAAAACAAAAGAATTTAGTATTATAACAATTAATACATCTTAAAATTGTCTTTTTGACTAGTTTGGTATAACTTTCAGCTTTAGATATATCCTTAACTAGTGTAGCAAACTGCTTTAGGCATTCAAAAAAATAGCTGAAGAATGTTGGTTTAGAAATCTTAAGTTAAAAATATATATAATTTATATATAAAAATCTTAATAAAGGGTTATGACAAGGCTGCCAAAGAAAAAAAAATAATAATAAGAAAATTCAAGAATTATAATTAAATTCAGTTGACAGTTTCATAAAAAAAAAAATAAGACCATTTTTTTACAATTTTAATAACTAGCTTAGTATAATTTTTTAACTAGATTAATTTTCTAACCAATATAACAAACAGTTTCTAAGCACTCATAGAAGCAATTAGAGAATGTTAAGTCAGAATTTAAGCCAACTTTGTACAAAATACATATACAAGAATCCTAATAAAGATGATTAACAAGGCTGCCAAAGTTAAAAAAAATAAATAAAATAAGTTAATCTCTTTTAAGTATACTAAAAATTTTTATAATATTGAAATAAACCCAACTTTTTAATACATGGTTTCATTTTAGAACAAGTTTATTTAAATACCAATTTCTTGTAAAATCTAATTTATACTATATTTAAAAACTAATAAAATAATTATTAGATAGTACCTAGTGAAAAACTATATATATCTATATTTATATTATTTCTATTAAATATTTTTTACATATCAGGAATTTTGTGTTATAAATAAATAACTGTATCCTAATTTTTATAAATTCTTAAAACTTTATTTATTAATGTATAAAATAATGACAATTTCATCCTTTAGATAACATTCATAATATAACTAAATTATGCATCACTTAAGATCCTCACTATAAAGAAGTAACATCTAAAATAAAATTAGATTAAATTTTAATTCGTCCTAATTTATTGTAATTGAATACTTACAATGCTTACAATATTAATAGTTTTAGTAATAAATAAAAAAGAAAGAAAAAACTGCCATTCAAAATTAATCTACGTAATTTCAAAGAAATACATAGGTGTATTGTGTAATATGTAAGTTTTTTTTATACAGTAATTAAAAAATCAAATATTATTATTCAATTTTTATTCAAAAAAACAAGCTTGAGATTTCTACAATTATTCGGCTATACAGACACCAACCCTTATATATTGCTAAATGTAATATCCGAAAGGTGGAAATAAAAGAGGAATCTTGGAAATTTTTACTTGTAAGAAATTTAGACTATTCGCAAAAAAAGCCTTGAATTTTGAAGATTTCTATGCGATGGTCGATCATTCGCTGATCGCAGTAATTTAAAAAGAGATATTATTAAGCTATCGCTACGGCATAAGCGTAAGATGTCTTATCCCACCAAACATTACCGATAAATTTTATTTGAAATTAATAGATTCTAAAAAATTGAAAGTTGCTAAGATAAACACGTATTCTTTTAATAACAACTCAATAGTATACAGACTAAATGTTGGAATTTAATATATAGAATACATATTATTGTGCAAACAATTGTTTTTCATACACTTTTAAATATTATTACTAAAATATAAAATTTACAATTAAAAATAATAAATTAATTTTAAAGAGATAATTTTAAGCCGTAGTCAAGAGTTCAAAAAACTTGAATCACCTTCAAATAATTATCCATTGTTATGATTCATCATCACCAGTACTCTCTTCACTACTACTATTGTCACTATATGCTAGTAAAGATGCTAAAGTATTATTAGTAATGTTATTAGTTGTGGTTGTTAATGTTGTTGCCCCTCTGCTTGAAGGTGATTCTAGTTTTGAACGTTTCTGATCTTTGGATTGTTCATTAGAGTTAGATGACTGTGTATCATCATCATTTAATGATCTCTTACGTGAAGGAACGTTGATTTTTTTAATAGCACCCTCTAAAATCATCCGTTGTGTATCTTTCTTTATAGAAGTTTTTATTGGTGCTGAGATAATTTCAGGTTGAATTACAAGTTTTGGTGTCGCTTCTTCATCGGCCTTGGCAGCAGCTCTGATAAATACAAACTTTAATAATATTAAAATCAGACTGATATTTAAAAACGGATCAAAACACTGACCGTCTAAATTCTTCAAGTTCTTGCTCAACTTTTTTCATTTTTTCCATTTCTTTACCACGTTGTTCATGTTCTAATGTTGCCAAAAAATCTATTTCATCCTCATCAAGTCTATGTATCAGATTACCTGAAAAAAGATCAATTTTCTAATTAATTGTAAGATAAAATTTGTAAATTCCTTTGTCAGTAACGTACTGAATCTTGTCATTTCCTGAAAAGCTTCCTCTTTCTTCATTTTTTGTTCTTGTAATTTCTCGTATAATGTACGAGGATCGTACTCTTCCTCTACTACTGGCGGCTCTACGAAGGTATAAAAGTGATGAATGATAAAATTCATTTTCCTACAGCGACTCTTCATTATAAAATATACTTTCTCCCAGTCTTTCATAAGCTGCCTTCCATTCTTCTGCCCGTTTTTTTCTAGCCTCTTCTATTTCTGCTGAGGAAACAAATTTCTGATCCATGTTAAATAATATGGAACCGATACAGCTTATCGAAGCATTATTAAGGTTTGACAGGATTAAGAAATAAGGTCACGTGCTGATGTGTTCACGAGATAAAGATTATCTCGTTCGTATTTCTTTTCGATCAATTCTTTCGTAAAATAACATAATGCCTCAATCAACTCCGATTGAAACTACTATAAAAGGCTTACAAGAACAAATCAAGGAATTAAATGAAATAATTTCGGGTAGCTATTTTTTTTTAAAAAATTTTTATTATTTATGTTCTTTCTAATACTATACATAAAATGAAGGTTTAGATTCTACTACCTCACCAATACCTAAATTTGATATACCCTCCTCTTCGTCAAACAAAGAAATAGAATTATTAAAAATAGAAAATTTAAAATTAAAATTTCGTATTAAACATTTATTAAACAGTTTAGATAAAAAAGATGATGAAATCTCCAAGTTGAAAAATCAACTGGCAAGTTTAAACGCGAAAAAATTGGATTGATAAAATATAATTTTACATTACACCAAAAAAAAAAAAGGAATAAAATAATTTAATTAAATGAACGAAGAAATATTTTATCTAAAGATATGTAGTCCGCAAAATGCGTGATTAACAGATGTTGTCTATTGTTTATTATATGATGCTATCCAAGGATTCAAAATTATAAAGCGATCAATGATATGAATTTAAAGATTTATTATAGGAAAGTAATTGTACTAACTAAAATTGATGGAACAATAGAAATATTAATGTAGAAAATGAATTAATGGAAATTACAAAGTTGACAAATGAATATATAAAACTTTTGATAAAGCAAAGTAAATCAAAGAATAAATAAAATTCTAAAGAATGAATTCTTAATTATATGACCGCTCAATGTTTTTGCCATTTTCCCTGCTGGATGTATATTTTTCACAATGTCCACGACAAGTGCTCTCTCAATGTTAAAGAAATTGCCCATTTATTATTCTATTCTATCTGAGAAATTAGAATACAAACTGTCTAATTGTTCTGCATTATGTTGTGGTGACGTTACTACTTTTTGAGATATTCGAATTAGAATTATTGGAATTATTTGAATTATTGTTACCGCTGACTTTATCCTTGAAGAAATAGAAATAAACTACTATCGCGATAATTATTAAAATGAGAATACAAATGCAAAGACATATCCATTTTTTCTGTAATTAAAAAAAAAATATATACATATATATATATATGTTACAATATTAATTAACTCCAATCAATGATTAAAAAAATAAAACTTTGACGTACTTTTCTAGCACCTTTCGCACTCTCTAAGGCCTTTTCTACTTGTTGCACACCAGATTCTAGATCTTTACTGACTTGAGTAGCATGCTCTTCAACAGTAGCAATTGGCGCATCCTGTGCTTCAACCAACATTTGCATTTCTTGAAAAAGATTGACAAGTTCCTGAAATACAAAAATAATGATCAAATTAAGAAGTCAATGAATGAAAATTGGTAACTTAAGGAAACTTACAGCAATAGTTTTCTCAATTTTTTTAATGTCATCATGACGCTCTTGTACTTCTCTTAGAGCATCTTTTGCAGCACCATATCGTGTTGAATTCAGTAGCTAAATGTAATAAAATTCAAAGCTAAATTGAAAATATCAAAGAAAGATAGATGAGTTTTAAATAATAACTAACATACAGACTGTGCAAAGAATTGACCACTCTCATCATTTTCTAATGCAGCATCAATTTCTTCTTGTGTAGCTTGAGGTTTAACTAAAAAATTTAAAAAAATAATTTTCTTACATAAATTTTTTAAATTGCATTAATAAGCAATATATAATATGACCATATAGGTATAAAGATACGTACCAATTTTATATTGTCTTTCCATTCGTGCTCTATATTTTTGACGATTTTGATATTCAATATTTTGGTATTTTTGTAAAGTTTCTAAGAATCTTTGGCGTAAATTTGCAGTCTGAAATATAAGTAAACAAGTTAAAAGACCAAGTAAATTAATAGATTAAATAGAACAACGACTATTTACTTGTGCCCTCCGAACAGCTAAATCACCGGTATTAGGAGGCAGTCCTAAATTTAATGCTTCTAATTTCCTGATTTTATCTTTTGTTTGAACTAAAATGTTTCGCGTATTTTCCGTAAGGGATTCAAGGTTACGTTTTGTGGCTTCGTCTTCATTAACAGTACCCAAGGACCGAGAATGTAATTCATCGATGCGTGCGATATTGTCTTGGACTTGTTTAATCATATCTTGGATAGTAGAAACCTAAATAATAACCAATAATAACCATAATAACCAATAAGAAGGTTAAATAATTATAAATAAAGTAATTGGCAGGTCCACTTGCTAAGTGAATCAAATACTTTCTAAAATGTATAATTATCATATATAATCTAATATTCCACGTTTTAAATAATTTCAAATAGTTTTCGATACGGTAAACATTATAGGAAATAAAATATGAATTAAGATTTTTTAAACAATAATTGTTTAAAGACTCAATAAATATGAACGAGTTTTAGAATTCTATTAAACATCTATTAGACTTTTATCGAGTCAATGCTTTACAAACCTCGTCAAAAAATGAGGGAACATTTGGAGCGGATCTCATTTCGGTGCTTTGTGGCCCCGGAGTGGGTTTATAACTGTTATTATAGCCCTTATAAAGTTTAGAAAAATGAAAAATTTAGCATTCTATAGAAGAGTAACCTTATGAAAAAACAAATACGACAGCTACCCCATAGTTCCCATAGTTCCCATAGTTGCTCATGTTAATTTTTTTTTTATTCAAAAGGTAAAATTTGAGGTAAGAATTTTTAAATGAAAGAAGGCAAAGATATAAAAAAAGTTTTTTGATCACTATATGAAAAATATGCTTTGTCTGTCCATATATGTTACAAATGAAACATCAAAATTGAACGGTTGATTAAGGTATGGTAAGTATAATTAGTATAATTAGAACTTACCAAAATCATAGTGTGCACGAAAATCGATGCATTAATTTCGTGTCACCGAATTAGGGAAGACGACGTTAATTACCGATAAAATTAGTGTGATAGGGCTGTCGTAACACCATTTCTTTTTTAGCAAATGGTCTGAATTATCATTATGCGGCAAATTTTATTATTCGCATACCCCGAGCAGGTATGTATATATTTCGATACACCATGATATTAAAAGATATTGGCGCAAATTAAAAACTTGTAATGACCAACAAAAAGGTTATACAAGAACAAAAACTGGTAAGTCTAAAGTCACTGTTCTATTTATAAATGTTTGTTAGTCATGTATAATAATATAATAAATATAATAAATATCAGATATCGATAATAACTCCGTAGGTACGTACGTAGTAATATATATCACTATCTGCTATCTTAACTATATAAGTAACGATAATAACAGGCTATGTAGGTCACGTTAGGGTGAAATCCGCGTTTAGCTATGTTTTTCATCCTCGTGCGGGTTTCACCCTGTCAATTACTGTCAACTGTTTATATAAATCTTCTTTATGGCTTGTTATTATTAATCCGTTATAACCATTATAAATTATTTATATATTAAAAAGTCGGTTCTTTGCAGTTTGTCCGTTAAACCGGTGAATCCGGTCTAAGGATGTCCGTTATATCGGTATGTAGTTGATAAATATACAATAAATAACGATAATAATAACGAGGATGTATCTAAATTGATTTTCAATCTGCACATATACATAGATCTATATGGTTAGTCCTTATTTCAGCATTTATGGCAAAAATTTAACTATCGGCTATTCTATTTTTTTTGCTCCTGCACTAAGAAACTTTTATATTATCGATTATGACTGTTCTTAAGCACCTTCCTATATAGTTATAGTAAAAACAAATCAACACTCCAATTTTCATGGCTCATCTCGGCAAATTTTGAATCTAATTTAATGATTTAATATTCAACAGAAAATTAGAATCTTCTTTTGCTTATTGAATCATTAAAATAGCTTCAAAATTCATCGAGATATGAGTCATGAAATTTGAGGTATTAAAATGTCAGTTTGCTTGGTTTCTATTGATGACAGCCCATATATATTTAATTAAAAAGTCAGACCATTTGACAATCGACCAGAACAACTTTACTGAATACTCGTACAAAAATCACTACGTATTAATTTCAATTACTTGAATCGATCACTAAATTAATAAGTAACCAATAATCAAATATCTTACTCTTAAATCATACGCAATTCAGAACTTTCAACTCAACTAATCTTCCTCGTTGTATCAATTTCTATGTTTTGTGTAGTCTGATAAATCGTAAAACTTTAATAATCATATGCGAATCTAGGACATTGAATAAGGATAGTGCAAATTTACGTGATATGATTAAAGTCCATTATTAAAATCCATCACTAACTAATCAATCCCCAATTTCATGTGAATTTTATACAGATTTTCGTCTACGTTACGGCTACAGTTACCGGTACAATACCAAGTATTACATCGTATTATATCGTATAATATATTCAATATCGGTCTAATTACAAACATAGTGCAGGTGAAAGACTATGAAATGTATCCTTAATTTCTCGCGTAATATCCAATATTTTTTAACTCAATAAAAGCGAAATGTTTAAAATGTTTAATAAAAGATGCCTTTCATAGTAACAATGTTAAAATTTTGGTTTACTAATCAAATAATATTTTTTTATTAGTAGTATGTACGTATCAGTATGTACGTACTTAGATAGTACAGAAGATAATAATAATAAGAAAAAAAACTATATATTCAAGCCAATTTTTTAGAAATAATCGTTTTTTTAAGGTGTTACTAGTAAGATTAAAATTAATATCTTTTATAGCAAGATTTTGTAAATTAATTAACTTTTATACAATCAGATAATATTACCTAGAATAAAAATTAACCCTGGTTTTTTTTTTTAACCTAAAAATAATTTAATATCTTGGTTTTTATAACATGAAACTTTTGATCAGACCCGGCCGGCCGGCCGGCTTTTTTTTAAAAATTTTTCATATATAAATGTATATAATTTTTGAAAACCCCACCCGGTTATTAAAACATATAAAAAAAATTTTTTATAGGCTTTTAAATTTTGACCCGGCCGGGTTATGAAAACCAATTAATTAATTTTGTATGGCCTAATGAAACTTATGCAAATTTATTTTTTTTCGAAAATTAATTGTCTCGAATCATGTGTTACGGTCACATGTTCGATCGATTGTCGGTTGATCGAACGGTAATTTGATTAAATAGTAATGCGATCATTGATGAGTATGATCTATGCGATTAGTATTGTAGTAAGTATGAGGTAATTGAGTAATTATAAGGTAATTGAGTAATTATAAGGTAATTTGGGAATTATGAGGTAATTGGATTGTAGTATATTAGTAAAGCTTGTGAGAATAATGATTAGTAAATTTGTCTTTTCTGCAAACCCAATTTTATTTTGAGCACTAATAAACTTGTCATTATTCATATAGCATGGCTAGTAATTTAGAAAAGAATAAAGTTACACGACACAGTCAGGTAATGATGTTGAACCATTATGTGGCCAAGTCAATTTTAAACCAAATTTTGATGTTTATCTTTTGAAATTTTAAAATTTTTGTGTCAAAAGATGGGTATTTTTGATGTTGGTTTAAAACAGGATTTGATAAATAGATTGATCAGTGAATGTAAGGATAAAAAGAAGTTATTTAATGAATTGTTTGAAAAAGAAAAAATTATAAATTTGAATAATGATATGGGTGACACAGTCTTCTTTTTATATGCGATTGTAAATATTTAGCAAGAGATGATTTTAATAATAGAAAACCTAAAATAGATAATTTGAAAAAACAATATATATCAGTTTTGTAAGTTCTTAAAGAGAAAGTGTTAGTAGATTGTGATAATGAAGATATAAGTATATAAAGTAAATATAATTTGTCAAAAGTAAGAATTTAATAAGTAGTATAAGGTTAGTATATTAATAAATAAAATTTTATATACAGATAAGATGAATTATTTGTTTTTAGTAAGGCAAGTAATATTAAAAAGATTTATGTAATTATAGTTGTAGATGAAGATAGTTAAGATATTGTTATAAAAATAATATCTAATAATTTAATTGATTTTATGTTTCAGTTTTTTTTTTAAAAAAAGAGTATTAAATTAGTAGTTTAATTTTCTTTTTTTTAATATTAAAGTAGTTTAAATATTTTTAAAAACAAGAAATCAAAAATGGTTTATAAAAAAGTTAAGATTAAATAGTCAACAGAGTAATATACAAAATTATTTCTTGAATTTGTGGCAAAAGTAACTTATTATATCTATATTTATTTAAATATATTTATTTATTTTTTTGGTATTAAGATAACCTCTTTGATCTTATTTATTTATTTTACTAATTTGTTAATAGTTATCTAATTAACAAAAGTTAATTTTGATAGTATTAGAAATAAGAATCAAAAAAGTCAAAAGATTGAATTTTTTTTTACTAAATAGCATTTAGCACAAAATGTGTTTTTATAAGATTTTTTTTTTTTTTTAAGGTGACCTTTTTGGTCTTTTGATTTTTATTAACACTTATTGGTATTGTGATTCAATAAACTACTACAAAAGAGCATACAATTGGCTACATATGTAAGTTTTCTATATTATCTATTTAAGAAGTCTGCTTAAAAGTTCTTTACAAATTGTTATACTTAACACCTTTGCTTGGATATTCTACTTTAAACCCTCTAAACCTATAACTTGTATTAATTCACTAAGTCATATTCAGATGCTCAGATTATTATCTCAGTTTAGAATTAATTTATTCTCAAAGTAAACCTCCTAGAGCCTTCTGTATTCATTTTTACAACTGATTTAAATATCACTATAGCAGAACTAATACTTGCAGTCAGGGCTTAATTATTAAACTATTATATCTTTGTAAAGTTCACCCAGACCCTAGCATCTACTTTATAACATAACCTGATACTTTAGTCTACTCCTGAATTTTGACAAACTTCTTATTCAAATAGCTCAAATAGAATTATAATCAGTTCATCAGTATATTAGATTAGTCTAATATTTTTTTTCTTTAGTTTATTTTAATAGTCTAATTAGTAATATTTTTAAGACTTCTAACTTGAAGGTCTTGTCTGTCTAGTTACTAAGATCTGGATATCTGTTTCTCTAAGCTAGCCTTTACAGTAGCATCATCAAAGATTTAGTTATTTCTCTACTTAGATCTTTCTAAATGAACTTCTTGTTACCTAATTTTAATGAATTTACATAGTCACAAAAACTTATCTAATGTTTGTACTACTCAGTTGTCAGTTTGCATTCTTTTGTATAACTTCAACATTGCACAGATGTCCTATGACCTGCCAGTCATGCTAGTGTAATCATCATTACAAGTATCCTAATTTAGTCATTAGTAACAGTTATTATAATATGGATATTACATAGGTAATTATTCAAATTTTTACTATTAATAGGATTTGAACACCCAACCTACTACTTAAAAGATTGACAATCTGACCACTTCACTAAGTTGCCACATCTCTTGTTTTTATAAAATTTTTTTTTTAATATAATAACTAGTTTTAGATATAAAAAAAAAAGTTTGGTAAAAATTTTTTTTTGTTTAAATAAAATACTTAAAGGTTTACAAATTGATAGATATAAAAAAGGGGAATTTACAAATAAGGGCCCAAAAATGAAAATATTTACAAATACGGGCCCAAAACGAAAATATTTATTTATAAGGGTCCAAAATTTTAAAATATTACAAATAAGGGCCCAAACTAATATTGTGTAGTACAAACCGCATAAAATTCAAGTCCGCTGTGGCCCATAATGAAATTCAAACCAATCGTAACTAAAGACCGTGACTCAATTGTGGCTGTCCAGGCGTACGAATAACATGATCGTTATCAATACTATGCGCATAAGAAATATGAAATACAATTAGTAATCAAAATATGAATATTAAATCCAAGAAACAAATACTTATCTTTTAGTTTGTTCAATCCAATAGACCTTTTTATTTCTTTGTAAAATTGTTTCTTGGCCAATTTCAATAAACTTGCCATTAAAATTTTCATTATAAACATTCGATCATGTTAAACACAATGCAAATCGGAATGAAATTTACTAATATGTAAAGAGTTCGCTCGGCTCTGGATGACTATTCTGCTGAACTTTCTTTACCATACAAATTCAAGACTAACAAACCCCACAAGTTGCTTGTTGTTTGCCCCACAAGTGAAACCAGTACATGTCCCTTTACTATTTCTGCTAATAAGAAAAAATATAGGTTCATTTATATTATAAGGTTAATCCATCATGATCCAACTTGCTCAACTTTTACGGAAACATTCAAGGCACGTGGGTCATATCTTGCAAAATTTGTTTCACCATTAGTTGAAGATATTGTAGCGCTTCGACCTTATGACATTATAAATCGTGTTCGATCTGAAGTGGGAGCCGAAACATCATACATGGCAGCCTGGAGAAGTCAAGCTGTAAATAAAAAACGTGGATCAGAGGATGTTGATAAAAGTTATCAATGTATAAAGCTGCTACTTGAAAATTTACTTGTAACAAATCCCGGGAGCAATATGGCATTTGAAATCGATAATGAAAATCGATTTACCCGTGCATTTCTATGTTTATGGCCATGGATTAAGGCTGTTGAACACTGCAGGCCAGTATTTACCTTTGATGCCTGTCATTCCAAGTCAAGTTATAAAGGCGTATATTTTAGTGCAAGTGCAATTGAAGGTGAAGGCAGACTTGTTCCTATAGCATTTGCTATTTGCTCACTTGAGAATTCCAATAACTGGATGTGGTTTTGTGAACATTTGTATAAAGCTATTCCGTCACTAAACACAGATGAAACCGTAATTATAAGTGACCGAGAAAAGGTACAAAAAAAAAAAAATCGTAACAGTTTTATTGTTTAAATCATTATACTAATAATTAACTTGTACATAGGGTATTTCGGATGCTATACAAACAAAACTTCCAAATGCATTTCATGCACATTGCGTATGGCATATCGAAAAGAACATTAATACAAAATTTAAAACAAAACTTGAGGTTAAAATCTGGGTTGCAGCAAAGGCATTACATGTAAAGGATTTTGATAATGCTATGGAAGAAATTTCTAACCTACATGCGGAAGCCGCTATTTATCTTAATGAAATACCACCCGCAACATGGACTTTAAGTAAATGTCCTCGAAACAGATTTGGTCATTTAACATCTAATACATCAGAATCTCTTAATTCTTGGTTAAATGATGAGCGTCTCGTAGAACCCTTTGAAGCAATTGTTTTATATGTGCGTAGAGTTAATACACTATTTTATGATCATCACACAGCATATTCTTCAGTGCAAACAATATTACCGCTAACAACTGCTCAAAGACTTCAGTCTACTATTAATTGGTGCCGTAATCGAACGGTGTATCCAATTAATGAATCTCTTTTTGAAGTCAAAAGTGACAAAAATAGCTTTCACATTATAGATCTTACTCTTTTGACATGTACTTGTCAACAATTTCAGGAGTATCAATTTCCCTGCATACATGCTTGTGCTGCCATTCTTAAGACAGGTCAACAACCATCCCAATTTGCCCATACTACATATCATACTAGCACTCTTTACAATGTTTATAAAGAATCAGCTTACCCCATCGATGCAAAAATATGTTTTCCCGATTATAAAACTTTGCCACCACCCACAATTAAGCAAGCAGGACGACCTCGAAAAACTCGGTTACGTAGTCGTGGAGAAACAGCACCTGAAGATCAAATTACTTGCAGAAAATGTGGCGAAAAAGGTCACAATATACGTACTTGTAGCTGAAGGCATAGGCAAAAAGAAAATTAAAAAGCTGTTTGGGAAAACAATATATTAGTAATTGTCCAAATAGGGAAATTAGCATTCATAATTGTTGGTTTATACATATGTATTATTATCTTGCAAATCAATATAACGTGCAATTATGCTTTTTAATAAAATTTAATAAAATGCTTATAATTCTTTATTTATGAGTCGAATAATTGTGGCACTGTTATGGCGTAGTAATACTTGGGCCCTTATTTGTAATATTTTAAAATTTTGAACCCTTATATATAAATATTTTCATTTTAGGCCCGTATTTGCAAATATTTTCATTTTTGGGCCCTTATTTGTAAATTCTCTTATAAAAAACTATTAGAATAATTAAAATATTATTATTACATTATTAATATAGATAGTAAAGAAAATTTAATAATTAGTAAAAAATCTAAAAATTTAAAATAAGTTTCTTATATAGAAGTTTTTAAAAATAAAGTTTATAGAGGTGTGACAGCTTAGTGAAGTGAATAAGTTATTAACCCCCAAGTAGTAGGTAGGAAGTTCAAAACCTACCGACAGTTAAAATTTAAAAAACTATCTATGTATATTGGTACTGCAGGCATCTGTGTAATGTTGGAGTTATACAAAGAAATGCAAACCAGCATTAGGCAGTGCAAACTCAAGATAAGTCCTTATGTCCAGTACTATAGCAATGGCAATCTGTTAATCAATTAAGATCAGTATCTGTAACACAGTTACACCAGATAACTGGCAGGTTATGAGGCATCTGCACAATGTTGAAGTTATACAAAGAAATGCAAAATGGCATTAGATGATGCAAATCCAAGAAAAGTTCTCATGGCCATGTAAATCTGTAAACTAAGAAAACTGGAGCCCACTTGAAAAGGCCCAAGTAAAAAGGTAGCACAAATCTTTGACAGTATTACTGTAAAGACTAGACCTAGGAAA